AAACCCATCTCCAGATGAATTGAAGAAGAATGAAGCTGCAACACCAGAAAAAAGTCCAAGAGATTAAAAGAGTGCTTAAAACAGTTTAAAGGAAGCCAAAAGTTTGTGGTCTAGCGGTGTTAATTAGTACTCCTCCGGTCCTTATTATAAGACCCAATTTGACTTTTTATTTGGTCCTAATTATAAGACCCAATCCATTTTGTCTCTTATATTTATGCATTTTTTTCCAAGATAATCCTTCTAATAATGATAGTTTTAGCCAATATACTTAATTAGCAAGGATATTTTAGGAATTACAACACTTATTTATTATAAATAACCAACTTAACTTACTTCCTTAATCTCCTCAAATAAGTCAATTGGGTCTTATAATTAGGACCGGAGGAGTATTATCTTTAGTCTTTAATATAAAAGTTAGTTGATTAATTTGAATAGATTAACAAAACTAGTTTAATTAGTTATTTATAATAAATATATAAAGTCTTTTCTAAAATATCCTTACTAATCAAGTGTCTTAACTAAAACTACTATTGTTATAAGGACTATCTTGAAAATAAATAAATAAATATGAAAGATAAAGTGGATTGAGGTCTTATATTTCGAACTAAAATAAAAGTCAAACAGGCTCTTATATTAAGTATTGGAGGTAGCACTTCCCTATAATGGGAAGTCGTGAGTCTGATCCCACTTGTAACCTCAAGATTCAGGCAGTCAATGTTTGCCTATTTAATTCCCAAAAAAAAAAAAAGTTTGAAGGAAATTATGAAGATCTCACATACTCTGAAATAGGTTATGGTAATGCAACAGTGACACCACACTGTTGTAGAAATTTAGCTGTGGATGCATGAAAAATTTACTTCGAGTATTTAATCACACCTATAATTGAATGATAATCCCTCCATTTCTTATTATAAGATTTAATTTTTAAATATGTTTGTCCTTTTCTATAAGATCTTTTTTAAGTTTGTCTGAATATTTAATACATTATTACATATTTTACCTCCGGTTTAGTACGTTTAATACATTCTCTTTCTTCATTTATCTTACTATTACTCTCTCATATCTACTAATTTATATATAGAGGTGTATTTGGAAAAAAAACTACATTTGCTACATATTAATTGCTTTTAATTAATTTTAATTTTTTTAAAACCACGTAATTTAGTTAAAAGCATCTTATAATAAGGGACAGAGTAGTATACTTTTAAGAAAAACGCTTCTGATATTTCCAAGAGGAATAAGGAAGTTTGGGACAAATGTACTTCAATAATTTCCTGAACGATGAAGACGGGGGATGTGAGAATTTATACCAGTCGTTTCAGTGCAAAAACTGTAGTCTCGGATAAAATTAAAATAGGTAAAAGGAAATAATAAAGTCTATGGAATAAAACTTTGAAAGGTATAAACCAAATTAAAATGTGAATCATAATTGAATTGAATTAATTGTTGTTGGGGTTTGGGGGAATTATGATTATTTTTTGGGTCAAGATGCAAATTTAGCTCAAAAATTTTCACTCCGAAATGCTGAGCAAGTAGAAGTTTTTTGGGAGGCACAGAGTTACTTGAAAGGTTTAAAATTGTAGTAGTGATGTCCCCCAGAATTAAAAATATTAATGATTAATATTACTATTTTAACAGTAAATATTAGTTTTTTTGTCAGTATGAAACAATCTCCTCCCCCATTGTTTTTTTCTTGGTCTCATTTTCTTCTTGACATCCTTGCATTCTATTTGGGCCTATATAGCTGTTTCAGCCCAAACCAAATATGGCAAGCAAAATGGGTATGGGTTGATTCTAATTGCTTTTCCAACCCCAAATTAAAAGAATGAACAAACATGCACTAATTTCATTAGTCATGACTTACTTAATGCAAAGGCAAGCATGTCCACTAAAATTCTCAAGAATTTTATTTTATGAACCATGTCAAATCCGAATCCATTGGAAAATTAACATTCACCATTTCAAAATTTATCATATCTACATTTTTTCCCAAGTGAGAGGGGGCATTATAACACAAGTCCTCAATGAATATTATACCACTTTTATAATGCATAATTATAAATTATAAATGTTCTAAAATGAAATTTCTGTCTAATCATGTAAAGAAAAGAGAGAGATGTATACAGTAAGAAAATAATTACATGTTAGCTATTAAAAACTGCAAATATTCACAAGTCTATGAATAATGTGACTTTCATTTGTAACTCAAGATCTAATTGCTATGATGTAAGGTTTTGTCCATAGAAAAGGATGGTTGGTAGTGGCAATGGAAACAAATGAAGGATTGAAAGGTAGAGGAAGGAAGTGTGTGTGTGTGAAGAATCTACAATTCTCAGAATGGAACAAAAGAGAAACAACCAAACAAATAACATCACCTAACCCCATTCCTCAACCTCAAGTAGCATGGTGATGACAATGACCATTGATCATCTCTTCCTTTTTGGTAACATGGAGATTATGAAAAATGACTTCATGATGACTCAAGCTACACCACAAACTACTTGATATGTCACTTATCCTCTCAATACCTCATATTCTAAACTCCATATCTCATTACTTTTCCAACAAAAGAAAATTCTAATTATATTATATTATATTCCTTTAATTCTGATACTAAATACAAGAGTTAGTATAGAAGTTTGTTTTGATTATGAATATAAAACTTTAATTCACTTAGCTTACAAAATTTATAATTATTTTTCTAAGCCCTCTATATTGATTAACCATTTTAAAGAAATAGTTTTAAATGCAAATGATTAAAAAGAGTTATCTAGGAAAACCAACACACTTTTTTTTACAAACTAATTAATTTAACTAATTTTTTTAATTTTTTGTAAATTATTTATCTACCTCCTATATTTAATGCGGGACGGAATGTTGTTCACCCTGGTCACATTAGTTGTTTGTTAAAAATGTGCTTTCATTTTTCTAAAATACTCTATTAATCATTTGTGTTGAAACTAACCCTTGATGAAAACCTGTTAATAACACATATATTCAATATAAATAGTTTGAAAAAATTATAAATTTAAGCAACAAAATAGATTTACATTTATATTTATAACTACAGTAAAACTACTAACCAACTCCCATATCTAGGATAGAAGCGGATATATTATAGTGTAAAGTACCCACACATACACGATTGGTAATCATATCTTTTAATTATTATTGCAATTATACATCCATTATTTATTTTCAAAATATACATAACATATTTTCCAAAGTTAAATAAGTTTTGTGTAATTGTAGTAATATTCAGGGAAGTCTGTATACTTTTGTTTTTTTTTTTTAAGGAAGTTTGCGTGTAGATCACCTTTATCTGTCGAAAGTGTCTACATAAATTATGAAAATACTAAAAAAAAAGAAATTTTATGATTTCAACGAAATTTTGATAATTCATATAATTTCCTCTATAATTATAACGTGTAATTTTGGAAGGATGGAACATTGATATAGACACTACGATATGACAGAATTTGAACTGTCCAAATATAATTCAAAATGTGTCTGATTATACATGAGAGAGGGTTTTATTTTCAAAAGTTTTTGTGCTCTATTTATTATAATTCTCCAAATAGTAAAAAAAAAAATAGAACGAAATTAAAGAAAATAGTCTCGTATCAGAGAAAAGTTATAAATAACAAATGGGTGTTTCCTTTGAAGCCTTTCTTGAATCAGACTCCTCTGGCTTTTTTGTTTCTTTTTTTTTCTTTATCTTTTTGCCACCTTTGAAATGGACCCTACAAGTTTCAAGTTGCTAAATGCACTCTGGAGGTATTTGGTGCTGAGGGAAGAGAAGCTTCTTATCGGTTTCTTTATCCTATCACAGCCTTGTCCACAGATGTATCTTTCAATAGGGTTCAAATTACAAGCCTTGATGAAAACTCAAAGCCATTGAAATTAAATGCAATGTTGGTTTGGCTTCTAGCTTTACTTTCCACAAAAAATTGTCCATTTACAACAAGTCACATCCATTTATCAGGATCATTAATGATTCATCAACCAGTAATCTGTGACTACCAATTAGAAACATGTTCAGAAAAACAAGATAACACTCTGATCAATAATGGGTGATTCTGATAATTTCATGATAGATTATACTACATTCAACTCTGATCTGTCTGGTCTTGAGGGTGCCCTTTGAGAAGAACAATCATGCTTATGATTTTATGAACTATTCTAAATGACCATAGAAAGCATATGAAGATATGGCACAGGATTCCAAAAAGGGCTTGTTTGATACTTTGACCTTGATTTTGTGATCTTTTGCAACAGGATTTAGAACCTATCAAATAGTGTCAGTTTCTAACTGTTTAATATTCTTTCAAAAGGCATGATTCTATAACAAAATGATGTTCAATTGTGATACTCTCTAGATGCTAATTTTTTAATAGCGAACATCCAAAAGGGCATTGAACAAGTAAAGAAAAGCTTTCCAAGTATGCCAGATTGTTCAGGATCTTCCTAGCGGGAGTCTAGAAAGTTAAGTTCAGCACATTCATATTCTCAAGTGTTGTGTTCTTCATTTAAAAGTGCATTGAGCAAGTAAAGAAAAAACTTGGCAGGTATATCAGATTGTTCAGAATCTTTCTAGCTGGAGACTAGAAAGTTAAGAGCAGCGTATTCATATTCTCATGCATTTTGTTTCTGATTTTCTTCTTGTTCTGGAGGACCAAGGCAAGAAGTAATTTTTGCTTGGGCTTCACAAGTTTTAATTAACAAACATCATCTTAACTCTTAGTTATGAAACTTGTTGGTGATTTTAAACAGAGAAAGAGTTAAACCTGCGACGGTGATGATGTTTCCACACATCTTATACCATGAAGAACATTACAGAACTTGGACACCATAAGCTTAGACTTTTGGCAACATTCAATTATGAATCCAGCCAAAGGCTTTAGGCCTAATGGGATAGTTATTCAATTACCTCTTATAATCCAAAGACAAAAAAAATCATGAATCCATGAACAATGTGGATTCTGAAGCAAATGGGGAAGAGAGAAAATACTTATTCATTAGGTCTCGTACTTTCATTTCAACAGGAAATCCGAAATACATGATACAAAGACATAGGATGACATGATAACACCACGAAAAAGAAAACAAGAACAGGAAGGGGAAAACGTTGTTACAATGATTAAGTACAATTCAAATAGACAGAATCCAACAAAAGTAGAAGGATGATATAATTGGTTTCAGAGACCAAGTCAGGGAATTTATTGTGGTGGTGGCCTGTAGGCGATGAAGCTGATGCACTGCACTTGGCGAAAGCTGTCAAATCCAATGATTCTGACGTGAGCCCGGGGGTACTCCTTCTTGGCCTCCTCAAGCTCCTTCAACACCTGAGTTGGGTCTGTGCATCCAAACATGGGCAGCTTCCACATTGTCCAGTATCTTCCATCATAGTATCCTGGTGACTTGTGGTTGTCACGGTACACAAATGGGTACTGCAAATTTCCACACAATTTTCTTTTTATCTACATATGTCTTCTTCTTTACCCCAACTTTATTCTCATCTCAACATAAAACTTAATAAACACAAGAGAAATGCGAGAAAACTTACGTCAACTTGGAACTCCAAGCAAGGAACCCATCCGTTCCTCAGAAGGTAGTCGACTTCCTTCAACAAAGATTCAGCGGAGAGAGGTGGGAGGTAGGAGAGAGTCTCAAACTTCTTCTTGCCAAGTGGGGGCCACACCTGGTTTTTTTTTTTTTTTCACAGACACTTTTGTGTAAGTTTTCTTCCCTTTTTCCCCCCAATTATAATAACAGATGAAAGCAATTTGAAGTGTATTGTGTCAATTTCTCTTGTGGGGATATGCTCTTACCAGCATGCAGCTTACTCTTCCACCATTGCTAGCAATGGAGGTGATGTCGGTGTTGGTCTTCTTGCTCACGGGTAAGCCGGAGCCTGCCTTGAGGCCGGTGAAGGCGCCGACCTTGTTGGTCTGGGCGGGAGTGATGGTGGTGACGGCGGCGGAAGAGAGCACAGAGGAAGCCATTTCCTTCTCCTTTTTCCTTGCTACTAGTTACTATATTAGTACTCTATTACACAGAGTGAGAGATGGAAAAGCTTCAGCTTGAGCCTGTTATATAATGGCTTGATTTCTGTATTTCCAATCCTATGGCTTGAAAACGGGAGGCTCTTGATTTGCAAAAAATTAACGGTTGGATGGCGGAGAAGATGACATTACTCGCATTATGACCACACGAGAGTGGAAGTTTTCTGAATGTTAGCCTTATCGTTAGGCACCACTATGGCATGCCACGTGGACGAAGCTCCCTAATCTTATCCCTTTCCAAAGGACAGAGTAAACGTGTGATGGTGGTGAAGTTTGATACTTTTTCGTTCCTCAGCCAATTTGTGACCATCCCTTCTCAAGAAATATGGTAAGGTTTCAGTGAAGTTAAACCCTCCGTCATTTTTTTGCGGTAAACTTTGATAGTAACAGTGATCATTAACCAAGCTTTGGCTTTTCTGCAGTTGACAGGTAAATAAAGAACCATTTTATCTGACAGTCTCTCATCTCTTGTCAGATATTTGAAGATGTTTTCATTTATCTTTCATCCTTTCTTTCCAATACGTGCTAACCAGATTTTGCTTGGATTAATGACACAGTAGCAAGTTGCAGCTATCCCTTTCACGAAATTTTAGTGCAGTACAAGTTCCTAACTCATTGTAAACATCAAAGTACATGGGGTGCCGGCTCAAACATAAGGAATTAACTGAGAAATCTCAGTAATCTGCAAATTGAAGAAGCAAAAATGTGAACATGGAAAAAGAAAATAGCTTCGCAGTGGACGTTCACTAGATGAGAAGCTGTTTTCTTCAAGAGAGAATGTTTTTCATTTTGTTTCTGCTGAGCTGTAGCTTTGTCTTGTTGTAATGATTTTTTCCTCTCTCATTTTTCTCGGCAGAATTTGAAGTCATTCAATGAAAGCAGTGCTTTTTCTTGTAAAAGATAAAACAAGATTTGAGTGATTTTCAGGTATGGAACTTAGTGAAAGTTCAACCATGTGAAACTGGATGGCATGATTCTGCAGAAAATATCTGTCAACCAGCTTCACAGTCTCTCTATCCATTCTCCAAGCCATTCATACCATCTTTTACTGAACTCCGTGAGCTTATTATTCAACCAAAACCAATATAGCTTTGCCCATAAAGCAGCCTCTGATTAGAAATGCACCATATCCCTTGTTAGCTAGTTTGGTCTTTCCTGCCGAATGTCCTCTTTGAAACTGGAAGATTATGTTCAATTTGAACAAATTTTGGCCATCCAATTGATATATCTACCCAAATCTGTTAAATAGAAATAAATTGGACAAAGGAAGGCCATTTAAAACAAGTCATTTTTCTCTCTTAAATGAAGAGAATCCGATAATTTAATGAAGAGATGTTTACATGTTACTTTAAACATTCAAAACTTACTTCTTCAATACTTACTCTTTATCTAACACAAGAAACAGAAGAAGAAAGTAAAAGGACAAAAAAACTGGACCTTGGGCTGCTATGTGAGAGTAGATTATTTTTGTTTCTATGCGAGGAACACTGGAATGGAATATACAGACAACATTAGCTTCTCTGCAGTAAATTAGTCTCACAAAAATGGATTTTAGATTCTGTAAGTCACCAACTTTCCTCACTGAACTCCTTTAAACAAGGTTTTCCCCGCACTGTTGACAACCTAATCAGAGCAAAAACACTACTTTAGATAAGGTTATGACAGAAACCATACTTTGTTCAACATCTTCATGCATTGTAAGAAGCCTTGTCCAGAACAAAACCCAGCTAGAGGAAACCCTTGGCCTTTTCTCTTAGCTGTTAAATCTGATCTTAGGTATGGCCTTCTGCAAGAACCTCAGTTATTTGTTCTTCAACATTACAAGAGGACAATGCAACATCCTTTTCCTTCTTATCTTCTCATATGAATTGGAATTTTGAAGGGAAAAAGACCATTGAGGACTAAAGGATTGTATTTTGAGACATGAACCCAATATATCCTTGGTCAATTATAAATGAAGCGTGCAAATTACTAGCATCCTCCTACTGGCAAGACTTCTGTAGGACCACCGAGGTCTGTGTGATTAAGTAGCAGCATTCCAGTTACTTTGTGATTGACCATTTGAAAATCCATCATCCTACTGATAGGCTAAGTTGTGTACCTTCCTTGTGTTAATAAAGATGGTCCTTTTGCCTTTTCAATCAAGTTGTTTCCATTTCCTCGTTTGAACCCTTAAGATGTTTGACTTTTCGGTTTTCTTGAATAGGCTGAAGTCAAATGTCATGTGAACCGTACAACCACTATCCATCAACAAAGCTTCTGAATTTTTGTTCATTGGATAAGAAGTTCTATGGACAGTGCTTTATCTTAACTAGACTTCTCACATGAGAAATATTATGAACTTTGCGTACGTTGCTGGCAACAAAGGACATTTCTATGTATTTGTTTTTCTGACTTGCGTTCCTAATCTGTGTCATGATACTTATCAATAAGCTTTGGCAAGTTGCTTGTGGCAGATTGTTTAAGCTTTAAAATCTTCAGAAAGACTAACCAATATTTTTTTCTGCTACCTTTGATCTGATATTTCAACATTATTCATCATCATATTCAAATTTCCTCCTCAGGTTGAGGATTTACGTATTTCTTGTTTCTGAACTAGCTTGGAGCTCCTCATAAGCTTGTCTCCAAAGCTTTTCCCGTTTTGCATTAATTCTATAGATTAATTAGTTCGTTGTAGTTTTCTTTTTGTAGTTTTGTTGCACTGCAGGATTAGCAAACTTCCTTGTGCAAACAAATTTCAGGAGAGGAGATCCATCAAAGCATATTATGACAAGGCAAGAAGTCTGCTTTTTTTTGGTTTCCTTTTAGATAAAATTTTAGACCAGCTGCATAAATCGATGGTTGACAAGAGAGGAACGCCAAATGCAGAAAAACAACTATAGTGTCCTTACTACAGTGAGAGGCTAAAAATGAAAAAGATATTGAGCTCAGAATTTTCCAAATGACAGCTTGAAGTGCCCTATTTTCCCCTCATGCAGAGCAATATTTCCCTTATGCCATTGATAAGGGTGATATATGAAGGTAGCTTTGAGGTAAGTTTGAAAAGTTATAATTGAAAAGCATCCAAACCATACAGCATGAATATACAGGCAAAGCAAAAATATGAGATCCATGAATTCTTTAGTATTACATCCAAAAAGATTACCAGTTGGGAGATCAGAAAGTTATGTAAGAACTTTCATATTAGAATGAGTTGCTTATAAGAAAGTGAGAGTCACCATAAAAAATTTCAAAATGAATCTTGAGCGCCATGAAATGAAACAGAAGATTGGAGACATTTCCTATGATTATCATTAGTTTTTATAATAGAGTTAGCAATTGAAGGGGAGCTCCATTCCTGATGATTGCAATTAAAGGGAATATGCGGTATGAGATTTGCAACTTTGAGTTCATTGCTAGTGCGACTCCTAAGGGCATATACAGGCCACCAAAGGTGGTGATTTAAATTTTCTTCCCCTACGAACAGAAATGAATTTTTTAAACATGGAATTATTGAATAAATTTTATTCATAATACTACCTCCGGTCCTAATTATAAGACCCAGTTGACTTATTTAAGGAGATTAAAAAAGCAAGTTAAGTTAGTTATTTGTAATAAATAAGTGTTGTCATTCCTAAAATATCCTTGCTAATTAAGTATATTGGCTAGAACTATCATTATTAGAAGGATTATCTTGAAAAAAAATGCATAAATATGAGAGACAAAATGGATTGGGGTCTTATAATTAGGACCAAATAAAATTATCCGGAGGTAGTATATATTTAAGTTAAAATACCAAAATACCCCTATTCACAAGAAATTGGGAAGAAAAAAAAGACAGATGAATTGAGCCACTATCTGCTCGGCCATGCGGCCAAACACTCAAGCATCAACGGCGCAAATTCAAATCTATGCGCCACCCACCTTAATCCTATGCGTAAGTCCTTCATAAGAGAAAATTTTCATTTATAGGGTAATTAATGACTTTTTTAATTTTATTTCTATTAAATTTATCTTTTTTAATACGGTACAGTACTGGTAGACCGATACAGTTTTTCTGGGAAAAAAAGGGCTTGAGATTGAGAAATGCTGGGTTAGTCATAAGTGAGGTTGACGAACAAGAAAATCGCCCGGGGCAGAGGAGAAGCCGTCGCAGGTGGTGAAGGCGACAGCGACGAAGAAGAAGTGAGCTTTGTTGATTCACTCACTTTCAAAATCAAGACTTTGTCTGAATCTAGATACCCATTCGAACTCGTGTATTGCAAATTTGCAGGTAAATCCATAGCTCCAAAAAGCATATTATAATTAGATTCTACAGAAAAAAACGCATCAAATCCAAGCGAGTTTTCAGCTTGATCTCACGAAGACCATGAGATCAAGAATGGTTCGCTGCCTCGAAAATCGTCTTTGGTTCTCTCATCCATTGTCATCATCAGACCCTATCACCATCATACAATCCTCGTTCTCCAATCTCTTTGCTGGCGAAGCCGATGGATTTTGAGGTCGGAGGTCGATGCCGTCAAAAATGTAAGTGAGGGGTCAGGGTTATCGAAAGAGGTTGTGTAGTTTTGAAATGGGAATTTTGTTACTTCTGTGGAACCCATCTCATTGGAATCCAATTCCGCTCATTTTGATAGAATTCAATTTCATATGGAAGCCTAATTCAAACCAAACATGCTAAATTCTGGATTCATTTTCATTTCGATCCCTGCATTTTCAGTTTCAGCATGCCAAACTGGCCCTGTTTTGTCAGTTTTGATGATTCCAAGTTCAAACATAGAACAAAAGTACTGCTTCTTGTAGAATATTCGGACTGTACGTAGGGTAAGATTTCATAAACATGCTCAGATGTTGGGGCTAATTGATTCTGATTTACTTCTAAATTCCTTCATTTCTTTGAGAAACAGAAAATGAATTACATTCCCAAAGCTATGGGCATTAGGCTGATCCTGAGAAAGCTTGTTTTTTCCATCACAGATTCCTAACAATATCACGTATATAACTATAACTATAATGTAGGCTAGTTTTTACAAAGGCACATTGTTTATATTTATAAATTACGCGGCTTCTTATGATTTATGTTATATATATAGATGTGTAGATAGATATAAAACCAATCAACAATATATACATATGAGGAGGACTTTGTGTCTTTAGATCTTTGAGCTCAGTAAAATTTGTCTACTTGGCTGTTTTCCACCTAGTCCTTTTCTTGTTCTACTTTTCAACCCTTGAATGCACGAGGTGGCCGTTCAATTTCACAATGATAATCTAAAATGCCCATGATTTCAACCCAGAAAAGGATAATGGATAAACATATATGTATAATGGGATGTGATTAAGCAAGCAAATGGTTATTCATATATATAAAAGATCTCATCCAAATGTTCTTTTCCAGTGAAAATCCGGTAAACACAAACCAAAAGCATAGGATGATTTATAGTGCCATACAAAAAACAACAAATGGGAATTCAGCAATACAATAACCGACTGGGTTTTTGCAGAACAAAGTGATCAGAGAATTTATTGTGGTGGTGGCCTGTAGGCGATGAAGCTGATGCACTGCACTTGGCGAAAGCTGTCAAATCCAATGATTCTGACGTGAGCCCGGGGGTACTCCTTCTTGGCCTCCTCAAGCTCCTTCAACACCTGAGTTGGGTCTGTGCATCCAAACATGGGCAGCTTCCACATTGTCCAGTATCTTCCATCATAGTATCCTGGTGACTTGTGGTTGTCACGGTACACAAATGGGTACTGCAAATTTCCACACAATTTTCTTTTTATCTACATATGTCTTCTTCTTTACCCCAACTTTATTCTCATCTCAACATAAAACTTAATAAACACAAGAGAAATGCGAGAAAACTTACGTCAACTTGGAACTCCAAGCAAGGAACCCATCCGTTCCTCAGAAGGTAGTCGACTTCCTTCAACAAAGATTCAGGGGAGAGAGGTGGGAGGTAGGAGAGAGTCTCAAACTTCTTCTTGCCAAGTGGGGGCCACACCT